GCTCACTGCAGCCTCGACCTCCAGGGCTCAGGTGATCCTCCAGCCTTAGCCTCCCGAGTAGCTGAGACTACAGCCACACACCACCACAATGCATCAGTGGAAACTTTGTGGCTACTAACTGCTCAGGAGTGGCTTCCTATGGCAGAAGGAGCAGATTGTTTCACCAGGAAACTTGATTGGGGAGGTGGTTACACAGGTGACTACGTGTCAAAACTCATTGAATTATTCCGTTAAAATCTGAACCTTTGGCTGGGTACAGGGGCTCACACCTAGGATCCTAGCAGTTTGGGGGGCCAAGGCAGGTGGATCACTTGAGCCCAGGGGTTTGAGAACTGCCTGGGTGACATGGCGAAACCCCATCTGTACAAAATAATACAAAACCCACCAGGTGTGGCGGCTCACTCCTGGATTCCCAGCTATGCAGGAGGATGAGGTGGGAGGCTCACTTGAACTCGGGAGGCAGAGGTTGCAGTAAGTTGAGGTCATACCACCGCACTCCAGCCTGGGTGACAGAGTGAGACCCTGTCTCCAAACAACCACAACAACAAAAACTAAACTTTTATTTAATGGGAAAAATACCTCAATGAAATAACAATTGGGAACTAAATACATTAGTTGTTTCAAACTGAAAAAAGACTCACAAAAATATTACTGTGGCCAGGCCTGTAATCCCAACATTTTAGGAGGCCAAGGTGGGAGGATCGCATGAGCCCAGGAGTTTGAGACCAGCCTGGGCAACATAGTAAGACCTCCTCTCTAGGAAAAAAGAAAAACAAAAAGGAGCTGAGTGTGATGGTATCCACCTACTCCAGAGGCGGGAGGGTCAGCGAGCCCGGGAGAGCAAGGCTGCAGTGAGTCATGATCACATACACAGCAAAACCCTGTCTCAAAAAGAAAAGAAAAAACAGGCCGGGCGCGGTGGCTCACGCCTGTAATCCCAGTGCTTTGGCAGGCCAAGGCAGGCAGTTCACGAGGTCAAGAGATCGAGACCATCTTGGCCAACATGGTGAAATCCCATCTCTACTAGAAATACAAAACTTAGCTGGGAGTGGTGGCGTGCACCTGTATTCCCAGCTACTCGGGAGGCTGAGGCAGAAGAATCGCTTGAATGGGGAGGCAGAGGTTGCAGTGAGCCGAGATCACACCAATGCACACCAGCCTGGTGACAGAGCAAGACTCTGTCTCAAAAAAAA